GGAAGGAAGGAAGGAAGGAAGGAAGGAAAGGAAGGAGAGGGATGAGCGAGGGCTGGGCTGAGAGCAGAGAAGAGAGACAAGAGCGGGAGGGGTCCGTCTCTGCCGTTTCCCCTGTTCACCTGCCCTCGGGGCGTTTCTCTGCAGAAAGATCGCTTTGTCAAACTCCTGGACCAGCTGCACAACTCCCTGCGCATCGACCTCTCCATGTACCGGGTAAGGTGCTGCCCTGCCTCAGTGTCCCCACCTGAAGCAATGGGTGGCTGTTCCCTCACCCCACTTGCCCCTGTGAATTTTGAGGCCAGCTCCCCTCTTTCCTTTCCAGAACAATTTCCCTGCCAGCAGCCCTGAACGGTTGCAGGACTTGAAGTCCACAGTGGATTTGCTGACCAGCATCACCTTCTTTCGGATGAAGGTACTGCTGGGGCCCAACTCTTCCTGTCTCTCAGGGGACCTGACTCTCGTTGGCCCTGGTTCTCTGGGGGTTGGGGTTGCATTGGTCTGTGGTGCTCCTGGGTGGGTGTCTGGGGGTGCTCCAAACACCACACCCTCCCCTGCACACCAGGTCCAGGAGCTGCAGAGCCCCCCAAGAGCCAGCCAGGTGGTGAAGGACTGTGTGAAGGCCTGTCTCAACTCCACCTACGAGTACATCTTCAACAACTGCCACGAGCTCTACAGCCGCGAGTACCAGACAGACCCGGTTCGTGGGGCAGGGGGGATGTCGGGCACTGACCTCCCCATCCCGTGTCCTTCTCCTTTTCCTCATGCTCCTGCTCCCTCTCCAGAGTGCTCAGTCCATGCAGAATGATCCCCAGGCCTTGGAGTTTGAGCTGTGGGGTTGAGATCAGGACAAGAGGGGCTGCATGGGGCCTCCAGGCCCTCCTATCCCCTTGTTAGTCCTGACACAAAGTTGAGCCCTGCACTGGGGTGACCAAAGTCTCCACTGTGTCCCCACCCCTCCAGACTAAGAAAGGCGAGGTGCCCCCCGAGGAGCAGGGCCCCAGCATCAAAAACCTGGATTTCTGGTCCAAGCTCATCACCCTGATTGTCTCCATTATTGAGGAGGACAAGAACTCCTACACACCCTGTCTGAACCAGTGAGTAGGTGCTGGGGAAGAGGGCACTGCTATGCCCACAGAGGGTGCCCATGTGGAGGCAATGGGATCTTGAGGTCTTTGGAAGTGGTTGTAACATCCATTCTACAGGTGGGAAAGCTGAGGCTGCTGGGAGGTGTGTGAGGGATGTCTGTGCACATGGAGGGCTGATTCACCCTGTGTCCATAGCCTCAAGCTGTGTGAGGGGAGGTTCAGGTTGAACATCAGGGAGAATTCATGGTCAGTCATTGGATTGGGCTGCCCAGGGAGGTACCCCTGGAGGTGTCCAAGGAAGGCCTGGATGTGGCACTCACTGCTCTGGGCTGAGTGACAAGGGAGGGATCATTCACAGGTTGGACTCGATGACCTCGGAGGTCTTTTCCACCCTAAACTGTTCTGTGATTCTCACTCTCCCCTCACCCCAGGTTCCCCCAGGAACTGAACGTGGGGAAGATCAGCGCTGAGGTGATGTGGAACCTCTTTGCTCAGGACATGAAGTACGCGATGGAGGGTGAGTCCCACCTGCCACCCTGAGCCAGAGAGGTGGGAACCAGGCAGGAGCTCCTCCTCAGCTCACACCTCACCTGCTCCCTGGGCAGACCCATTTAATGTCTTCATCAACACATAGCTTAACCACCCCATGAGGCACTTCCACCTTCATCCTGTTACCCTGGAGGTAACAGATTTGGGACTCAGAGTGCCCCCCACGCCCTTTCCCCGTGCAGAGCACGAGAAGCACCGCCTGTGCAAGAGTGCAGACTACATGAACCTGCACTTCAAGGTGAAGTGGCTGTACAACGAGTACGTCACCGAGCTGCCCTCCTTCAAGAGCCGTGTGCCCGAGTACCCCGCGTGAGTGCAGCCCTGGGGCCGGGCAGGGGGACTGGCAGCACCAGGGCTGCTGGCCTCACCATGCATGGCTCTCTCTTCCAGCTGGTTCGAACCCTTCGTCATCCAATGGCTGGATGAGAATGAGGAGGTGTCACGGGATTTCCTGCACGGAGCACTGGAGCGGGACAAGAAAGATGGGGTATGGACAGGACTAGAGACACAGTCTCGGAGGCGAGGGGCTTGTCCCTTGATGCCCAGGATGTCCTGACTGGGGCCAATATCTCCCCCACACGCCCTGACACCTCATCTCATTCCCACAGTTCCAGCAGACCTCAGAGCACGCGCTCTTCTCCTGCTCCGTGGTGGACGTTTTCTCCCAGCTCAACCAGAGCTTTGAGATTATCAAGAAGCTGGAGTGCCCTGATCCCCAGATTGTGGGGCACTACATGAGACGGTTTGCCAAGGTGAGCACCTGCCAGGGCAAGGGTCAGCACATCCCTGGGACCCCAGTCCCAGCCCTGGCTGGGGCTCCTGGGCTCTCTGTGCCCCCTCCATCCGGCTGTGGGCAGCCAATATGCCACCAACACACTCTGGGACACTTCCGGCTCTGCTAGCATAGGAGAGTAATTAATTTTATCAGCTAATTGATGACTTATTTGCTTAATTAATATAGATTAATTAAAACTGGCTTGCTGCAATATTAGAGGGAGTTGCATGCAGGCTTGGTGGCTGTTGCCTTTGCAGCTGTGCTGGAGCTGCCCATGGAGACCAGTTGTGCTGGATCTGGCTTCCAGTGGCTTCTGGTGCACGAACATGAGCCAGGTGTGCCCAGGTGGGCAAGGAGAGCAATGGCACCTGGCTTGTACCAGCAATGATGTGGCCAGTAGGACCAGAGCAGTGACTGCCTCCCTATGCTGGGCACTGCTGAGGCTCCACCTCGAATCCTGGGGCCCCTCACAACAAGAAAAACACTGAGGGGCTGGAGCATGTCCAGAGAAGGGAACAGAGCTGGGGAAGGGTCTGGGGCACCAGGAGCAGCTGAGGGAGCTGGGGCGGCTCAGCCTGGAGAAAAGGAGGCTCAAGTGGGACCTTCTGGTTCTGCACAACTCTCTGACAGGAGGGGGCAGCAGGGGGGTAAGGTGGGCTCTACTCCCAGGGAACAGGGACAAGAGGAGAGGACATATCCTCAAGCTATGCTAGAGGAGGTTGGGGTTGGAAGTTGGTAAAATGTCTTCACTGAAAGGTTTATCCATTTCTGGAACAGACTGCCCAGGGCAGTGATAGAGTCACCATCCCTGGAAGTGTTTAAAATACATGCGGATGTGGCAGTTGAGGATATGATTTAGTAGTGAACATGGTGGTGGTGCTAAGTTGATGGTTGGACTTGAATTTATAGGATTTTTCCAACCTTAATGATTCCATGATTCTATGATCCATGAGGCCAGAGGGTCTGGGGCACCCCATATGTATCCAGATATGAGGTTATTTCACTGCTGTAGGACTCATGGTTTCCTTTTCTCCCTTCTTCCCTTTGTTGCTGCTGTCTGGATGTCTTTCTTGGTGCCCTGTTTGGCTGCAGACCATCAGCAATGTGCTGCTCCAGTACGCTGAGATCATCTCCAAGGATTTTGCTTCATACTGCTCCAAGGAGAAGGAGAAAGTGGTGATGTATTTCCCTTTTTCTGTCCCCACATGGTGACCCCAGCTGTCACCTCAACCTCAGGGTGGGTCAGTCCCTTCCTCATTGCAGTTCCTGTCATGCTGCCAGAGTGGCTTCCATGCCATCCCTGTCCTCATGTCCCCAGTGCAAGATGGGAGGGTCTTGGGGCTGTGGGCAGCTGTCCCAGCCATATTTATTAGTGCTGACCTCCCCTCTCCATCCCACCCCTCCAGCCCTGCATCCTGATGAACAACATCCAGCAGCTCCGTGTCCAGCTTGAGAAGATGTTTGAAGCCATGGGTGGGAAGGATGTGAGTATGGGTGAGGGTTCCAGGAGGGAGCCCTGTGGGGGGTTGGATCATTCTCTTCCCCCCAGAGGTAGCCCTTTGCCCAGTTTCCCTGTGCTGGGTGCAGACCCATTCCTCACTCCTGTGTGGGATCACACTGTCCCACCATATTGGACTGGGAAAGGCTTCACCCTGCCCAGGGATGCATCTGGGATGCAGAAACTTCCCTAAGGGCTGTTTCAGGGACCCTGTTAGCTTCAACAACCTGTCCTTCCTGCAGCTGGACACAGAAGCCAGTGATATCCTCAAGGAACTGCAGGTGAAACTTAACAATGTCCTGGATGATCTGAGCCGAGTCTTTGCCACCAGGTACAGCTGAATGAGTGGGCAGGGGCAGTGGGCAAAGAAGAGGTCTGGGAGTCCAGAAGCTGTGGCTGGGGCTAGGCCGGGGGCTCTGGGGGGACATACTGAGCTGCCTGTGTGTTGTGGTCCCCAGTTTCCAGCCACACATTGAGGAGTGTGTGAAGCAGATGGGTGACATCCTGAGCCAGGTGAAGGGCACCGGCAACGTCCCTGCCAGCACCTGCAGCAGTGTGGCACAGGACGCTGACAACGTCCTGCAGCCCATCATGGACCTGCTGGACAGCAAGTGAGTGTGGGGGCAACTAGAATCTCCAGCCTGCCCCTCCTGGCCTCAGCAGGCCGTGTGAGGGACCTGCAGTCAGGGTGACAAGGGAAGGGTGACACAGGATCCTCTAGTGCTGTCTCCTCTGCGCAGCCTGACGCTCTTTGCCAAGATCTGCGAGAAGACGGTGCTGAAGCGGGTGCTGAAGGAGCTCTGGAAGCTGGTGATGAACACCATGGAGAAAACCATCGTCCTACCCCCCCTCACGGACCAGACGGTGAGTGATGGGGAGAGGGAGCAGGGACCCTGAGACACGGGTGACTGACTGGGGCCAGTGTGGGACATTGCTGGCCGGGTGCCCTCACTGGCATATGAGAGGGTGGGGACTTCACTGATGTCTCCAAACCCATGTCCAGCTCCTGCCCAGGGAAAGGATGGAGGAGAGATAGGTCATCATTGCTCCAGGACCTTCTTGGTTGGCTTTGCCAAAGGATCTTCCTGCCACCTCCTTTGTGGCCTGAAGAGGGGATGCTGGCCCTTTCTCATCCATCTTTCCCTCAGAGCTGGGGCAGCACCCCATGCCACACTCATACACACTGGCTGTGGGCATGCTCCCTGCGCCAGGAGGTGAATCCAGAGACTCCTGGACTGTGGGGAGATGCTGCCTGTAGGCCTTGCTGAGGGGCTGGGGGTTTCATGCGGATGGGGGAACATATTCCCCAGCAGGGGGCTGAGCTGTTCCCTGCTCCTGGAGGGTTTAGGAAAGCAGAGCAATGCTCCTTCTCTGAGTCTCCATATTGCATTGCTGTTTGTCTGCCCCCCCTGCACCTGAAGGTGGTTCCCTCAAAGTCAGGCAGGAAAGGGTGACACTGAGTGCTCTCAACCAGCCACACAGATGTTCTGTCACTCTTCGGTGGCATTTGTCACCGTTACAAAGCTGTCAGGCTCTCCTTGAAGTTCCTGGAGCTCTCAGTCTTAATGTCACCTTTCTGGAGCTTTGGAGCTCCTGGGCTGTGTCTGTGAGGGACAGCACAGTGGTGACATGTCAACCCTCAGTAGTGCCACCTCACTGTCACTGTGTCACAGCCCTGAGCCTGGCTCAGGTCAGACCCAGATCGCTCTGGGCTCACATACCCTTGGCCAAAGGTGGCTAAATCTCCTAGGAATGCTGAATCCCAATCCCCATCCCAGTCCCTTTCCAGCTGTGCTCTAGAGACTGTGGGGCCTGTGCTAGGACAGAGGAGGGGGCATGGACGTGTGGCTCTGTTGGGTGATTTTCCTAAGGGCAGGCAGTCCCTGGAGAAAGCTTTGTTGGGGACAGGGGACATCCTGACCAAGTGTTCCTGGGTCGCAGCCCACAGGGTGGCTGGACAGGTTGGCAGTTTGGGGGTCCATGTCAGAGCTGAGTGACCAGTGGGGTCCCTGGAACTGAGCTCTCCTGGGGCAAAGTCCCCCCCCAGAGTCAGGAGGGGTTGGGCAGGTGAGGATGGGGCCCCTCGGGGGCTGTGGAGGCCGGCAGGGCAGTGGCAGGGCAGTGACACTGAGTGTTGTGGATGGGGGACACCCATGGCCCTGGGGGGGGGGGGGGGGGGGGCAGCCAGGGCTGGCACTGGGGAGGATGGAGGAGGCGGGGGCCGACACTCACATCACGGTTGTTCTCTCCAATTGCTCCTCTCGCCTCTCAATGGCAGATGATTGTAAGTACGGCAGCTCCCTGTCTGTCTGTCTGTCTGTCCGCTCTGTGTCGGTCCTGGCCTCGCCGGTTCTTGTCTTGTGTGGCTGCCCGTGCCCTGCCCACACCCTCCTTCGGCTCCTGGCCTGGTCCAGCTCCTGGTCCCCACCCCTGCCTGGCACTGGCTCCTGGCTGGCACATGCCAGCGGCCCCTCCGGGATGTGGTGGGTGGAGAGGTCTTGGACACATTGGCAGTGCCGGGATGTGGGGAGGGACAAGGGGAAGTGATGGGGTGGGAGGGGACGGTGATGGCAGTGCCATGTCATGAGGGACTGCCAAACCAGGGCTCTGTGCTGAGGGCAGAAATGCCGCGGGAGGCACGAGAAGGGAGCGCTGCGTGCCTGGAATCAGGGCTGCTCTTCCTTTCCCTCATGCCTCAGTTTCCCCTCCAGGCCCTGGCTGGGGTCTGCCGGTGGTGGTGGTGAGGGCGGAGGCTTTCCCTGCCAGAGGAGGAGGAGTCTCTCGGGGGGGACACGGCAGTCCCTGGCCCCGGTGCTCGGTGTTGGGGCAGGCTGCTGGCACAACTTGTGAGGCTCCTTTCCTGGTCGGGGTATGACCCTGGGAACCTGGATATGATCCTGGTTCCCTTCTCGGCATCGCTGCTGGGTCCTTGCATGGCTTTGACTGAGCAGTTTCCTTCTGTTCTCTTCTGACCAGTCTGTGGCTGTGGGTTTATGCCCCTGGGGGCAAAGGAAGGGCAATTCATCCCCCAGTCCTGTCCTCACCCCAGCTGTGACTCAGGCACCTGTGCAGGAAGAGCAGTGGGAGCCAGCTGCTGGGTACTGGTGCCAATCCCTGCAGGAACAAACACCCCTCTGCTGTCCCCCAACACCTTTTGTGTCCAACAGCAGCATTTGGGGTGGCCTTGAGGGCAGCCTGGGGCCGAGTGTCCCCTCAGATCTCATGGGGACCTTGTGGGGACCCCATGTCCCAGCTTTGCTGGGGCTCTGGGGGACAAAGTAGTGTCAGCTCTGTGTGGTACAAGCTGCTCTTGTTCACTCATTACCCTTGCCAGGGCCAGAACCCCTCCTAGCAGCCCTGCTTGGTCCTACCTGTGCTGCTTCCCAGCCAGGTGACTCTGTGCTCCCCTGCCCTGATTCCAACAGTCCACCCTGAGAGCTGAGTTTATCCCCACCGTGGCACTGCTGCCTCAATTCACAGTTTCTCTTGCCTGGATCAGTGTGTCTCCCACTGGGTCACTGTGGGTTGCCACTGGGCCCAGCCCTGCACAAACCAGAGCTCTGCGTGCCAAAGCCAAATCCCAGCTACTCCCTCCTTGCTCCCTCCCCAGTGCTGGGAGCACCTGCCAGAGCTGGAGCAGGATGTGTGGGAGCACCAGAGCCTGCCCACACACAGCTGGATCCTGTATTCCAGCGAGGATCATCCCTCATGGATTCAACATCTGTGTGTCCCAGCAAGGATCATCCTCATAGATTCAGCAACTCTGCATCCCAGCAGCTTCCCAGTGTGAGGACAAGTTCTCCAGCAGTGCAGCATCCTGCTTTCCAGTGGGGATCCAGCACCCTGATGACACCAGGCCCTCACTGAGTATCCCAGAGGGGACCAGTCCCCCACTGGCTGTCGTTCAGGAGCTCATGATGTCTCTGCCACCTGTGCCCCTGTGTCCTGTCCCATGCTGTCCCCCCACCCCACACTCAACCTCTGACATTGCTTCTACAGGGCACGCTCTTGAGAAAACATGGCAAGGGGACAGAGAAGGTAAATAGCTGTGGGCTCCGTGTGTGTCACCACCCCGGGGCCACACTCGTGGTCTCACACCCACTTGCTGTGGAGGTCCAGGCTTGTCTGTGCTTCCTCTGTTGTGCTGTCTGGATGTGCTGTTGCCTGCGTGGTGTCGTGGTGAGGTGTGCTGTGCTGTGTGCTGGGGACAGCCCCAGTTCTGTGTGTCCCTGGGGTAGGGAGTGGGGGCTCTGTGGTGTTTAGTCCCCGTGGGGTGGATGTGGGGTGTCACCCATCCCCGTGGGGGACACTGCCCCACAGCCCTCAGCACCAGCTGCCTGGCTGGAACAGCGAGGGCTTGAGACCCCATGCATGGGAGACCACACAACCCCATCCCACTGGGGGGCTGAGGAAGAGGGGACCACCCCCATGTTGGGCACAGTGAGGGCCCCGGGGCTGATGAGATCCCCCGGATCTCTGAGCCCACTCCTCCTTCCTTGCTGAGCTCCAGCTCTGCTCCAAGGGCTTTGTCCAGCACATGGGCTCTTGCCCTGTCTGGGGGCTCCTCACCACAGCGTGGGGGCCCCTCACCACAGCGTGGGGGCCCAGCAGTGAACCCCAGCCTGCTCCCCAAATCCTGGTTCTTGGGAAGAGCCATGCCAGCCTCTATCTGGGCAATGCCTGTGGCTCCCCTGCTCTCCTGGGGGACACTGGCTCAAACTGGTGCCCAGTTTGCTGAGTGTGCTGGGTGAGCTGATTCCCTCTGATATCCCAGCCCCAAAAGGGGTGAGGAGCAAACCTGCCTGCCCTCAGAAGAGACGTGGCACACTCCTCACAGCTTCACCAGCCGAGCATGGAGCTGAGCCTTTGCAGCTGTCAACTGGTACCGAACCAGCAGCACCAGCGGAGAACTGGGCAGAGCCAGAGGACAGTACAGGGCCAGAGCCCTCATGGCCAGGGGATGTGGGGGGCCTGGAGCCGCGACTGAATGCTGCTAGGGCCACCAGTAACTGTCCCTTGCTGTTCTCTTCCAGAGCAGGGTGAAGCTGCCCAGTCACACTGAAGTAAGGACATGGCTCTTCTGCTCCCCACTTGGCACTGCTCTCTCCCCTTCCCTCCTCCCTGTCCCTTGTCCCTTGTGCTGTGGGTTGGGGGCTCCCAGCTCAGTACAGTGTCCTGTCGTGCTCTGTTTTGGGGACACCAGTGTCCCCAGCTCCCAGCCTGTCCACTGACTGGGAGAGATGGGAACAGTGAGGGTGGAATTAATGGGACAGAACCGGGTGGACAGAGGGGTGGGCACAAAGAATTAATGGGGGCACACAAAATGAGGGCATGGAGGGTGCAGACCCCTGCAGAAGGTACTGGTTAATTGGAGAAATGCTGAGGTTTCTGTGTTGGGAGAGACTGGAACTACTGGTGCTGGGATAGGGAAGGTGGTGGAGGTCTCTGGGCCCCAGTTTATCCAGTTGCATTTGCACACTGGAGGAGCTGAGGAGAGCTTGTGCTTGGCCCAGTCAGAGGGGCCAGCCCAGGGCAGTGAGCAGGATCTGCCCATCCAGGATACCCATTCATGGGCCCCACAGAATGGCTCCATGGCCCCTGCCATAGTGGGGGCAGAGGTCAGGCAGAGGTAGCCTGGGTCTCCCTGGAGACCTGGGGAACTCCTTAGAGTGCCATGGGGCTGGGAGCCTCCCTGGAGCTGGGCAGGGCTCCGTGTGGCTGGGGGCTGTTTGGTGGCTGTGGGGTACAGGCCACACCCTCCCCATGCCTGCTGTCCCTTGCACTCGCTCTCTGCTCCCACCGTGGCTGGTGTCCCAGTGGTCAGTGCTGTGCTGTGCCCGGCCCTGCTGGATGCAGGAGCAGGTCCTTAGAGCACAGGAAGCAGGATGGGACTCTTGGAACGAACTGCCTGTGCTGAGCAGAGCATGAGGCACCTGACACCAGCGTGACGTCCTGCCCTGGGATCCCCAAGCCTGCAGCCTCACAGCTGTGCTGAGAATTCGGGCTGAACGGGGGGCTGCCAGCCTGGTACCTGTGTCACCTTCCTGACTGCTGTCCCCTGGAGGAGCCCCTGGAACTGCAGCAAGCTTCTGGCACGATGTGCCCAGACTGGCCATGCCAGTCCCAGCCCAGCTGCTCACTGGGGCTGTCCCTGTCTCTTTGCTCTCTGCAGGGCACACAGATGATTTTCAATGCAGCCAAGGAGCTGGGGCAGCTTTCCAAGCTGAAGGTGAGGGCTGGGAGGCTGGGCTGGGGGTCACTGAGCTGAAGGTGAGGGCCAGGGGACTGGGCTGGGGGTCACTGAGATGAAGGTGGGGGTTGGGGGTGCTGGGGTACTGGGTTGCTCTCTGTTCCAGGGTGGGTGCCAGTGCCACTGCCCCCTTGATGGCTTGGCTGGTCTGGGGACAGCAGAGTCCTGGTCCTGTGCTGAGAGCAGGATTTGTGTCCCCCAGGACCACATGGTGCGTGAGGAAGCCAAGAGCCTGACCCCGAAGCAGTGTGCTGTGGTGGAGCTGGCGCTGGACACCATCAAGGTGAGAGCACTCTGGGGGGTTTGGGGTGTCCCCAGGGCTCTGACCCTGAGGCCCAGGCACGGGGACCACCTGGGGGACCCTCACAGAACTGCTGAACATCCTGAGGCCTTTCCCCCTCCAGCAATACTTCCATGCCGGTGGCGTGGGGCTGAAGAAAACGTTCCTGGAGAAGAGCCCTGACCTGCAGTCGCTGCGCTATGCCCTGTCCCTCTACACCCAGGCCACAGATCTCCTCATCAAAACCTTCGTGCAGACCCAGTCATCGCAGGGTAGGATGTGCTGCCCTGGCCCCCACGGGGCCCTTGTCCTCCCCAGGAGCTCGGCTGCTCCATGGCCAGGAGCCACCTTGGCTCTGTCCCAGTGGGGCTGGGGGTCCCAGCCAGGCTCACCGTGGGGGAGACATGGGTGGCCAAGGAAGGGCTTTTTCCTCCCGTTCCTTGCAGGTGAAGAGGGGTGGTGGGTGCCCAGCAGCAGCAGCATCATGGCACTCCTCAGTGCCCCGCCACAAGAACAGTGGGTCCCCAGTGCCAGGGCATTGCTGGACTGGCATGAAAATGGAGCCTGTGGGTGGGGGGAAGGTCACTCTCTGGCCAGGTGTTAGAGTGTTTGTCTCCTCTGGATGGCCCCAGGAATCCAACACAGACCAATCACAGGGTCCACGGGATCTAGATGCTGTGCCAGGGCATGCTGGGCATGCTGGGTGCCCAAACCCCTGATCTGGGCTCCGCGGTGCTGGGCACCTTCCAGGGCAGGATCAGCCCTCAGCTCTAAACGCTGCCCTTTATTCTGACCCTTGGCTGCTGGAGGAGGGCCCTGAGATGCTCGGTGGTGGTCACGGGCCACCGCAGGGTGCCCAAGCCAGGCTTGTCTGCGTCCTCGGGGAGTGGGACGTGCGTTTGCTGTCCGTGAGTCTCCTTCAAGGGACGTCTGTCCTGTCTGTGCCTTCTGTGCCAGCCATGTTGGGGGCATGGGGTTGGGTCTGGTGGGTGCCAGCACCCCTGGGTGTACCCTGTCCCCAGGAGCCCACACTCGGAGCTGGGGGTGCCTGGCACTCCTGTGTTGCTGCAGTGTTGTCCGGGTGCTTGGCCGTCAGTCTGTCTGCGAGATCTGATCTCTCTTTCTCTTTGTTTCCCCCCCTTCCCTCACTGTTCCTGTTCCCCACGCACATCATCTCCTTCCTCCTCTCTTCCTCATCTCCTTCCTCCTCTCTTCTTCATCTCTTCCCTCCTTCCTTCTTTTGCATCTCCTCCCTCCTTCGTTGTCATCTCCTTCATCTCCTTCCTCCTCTTTTTGTGTACTCTGTGACATGTCTCTGTCTCTTTCTCTCTCCTTCCCACTAGTTCATGGTGGGAAAGGGATTAGGTTTACCCTTAGTGAAGAGGTGTATCCTGAGAAGGGTACGTGTGCTACTCGCCCGCCCCTGCACCTGCCTGCCGCCGGCCTGGGCTAGTAACAGTCCCAGCACTGCGGGCTGGGGTGGCCTGGGGACCCCCCAGCATCGCCGGCCTTGGGGACCCCCAGAATGGGCAAACTGCCACTCCCAGGGCTGCTTCGGGGGGAATTTGGAGGAGCTGTGCTCAGCCATATTGACTACCCCCAGAGTGGGTCGGGGGCTGTCCCCATGGGAGTAGGGGTGTCTGCCCGCATGCTCTGGGCACCTCACATTGTCCCCACCACTGCTGCCTGGGGATGGGCACCCACCATGACCTCCCCCTGGGACATGTAGCCCTGGGGGAGGCCATGCCACATCCTGTCCCCTTCCTGCCCACCCTGCTGCCCTAAGGACCATTACTAGCCCTGCTCTGGCGCGCTCCGTCTGCCTGTCCTGGGGAGCAGGGAATGAGCCCCCCAAGGGCCCTGCTTGGCCTCCATCACACCCCGCTGGGGGCCGGGGCTGCACCCCGCTTGGCCTTCCATGCCCCCTCCCCACCCGCCATCGCCTCCATCCCGGCTCAGCATGCGGGGGCAGGGCCCGGGGGATGGAGGGGAATGTGCCATCGCCAGCCTTGGCCCAGCCTGGCACCCTCAGTGACATGTGGGGACATGTCCTCCTTCCACTGCTATTCCCACCCTGAGAGCTTCCCAGTGAGCCCTGTTGGATCTCTGTGACCCCATCAGACCCACAGACCCTGTCCCTCTGCCTTGCACCCCCGTCCTTCACCCGTGGGTGCATGCGTGAGTCTAGGGTGGTGTGGGGTGGGCTGAGCTCTTGGCCAAAGGTCACCGAAGGTCCCCAGGCTCAGAGACCCCTGGGCTTGATGTGGTCCCTGGGATGGAGGGGTATGAGGGGTGGGTCAGCCTGGAGACACTGGTAGGGCTGTGGCTGCCCTCGCTGGGTCCCTTCTGCCCAATGCTGTGCCCATGACACTGTCACCCCTCCATGCACAGGGAGCTGGGCCACTGTCCTCTGCCCCATCCCAGACAGGCCCCTCAGCCCTGCCTTGGCAAGAGGGGGTTCACAGGGGTAGGATGGCAGAGTCAGCCTGCTGTTGGGGGTGTCCTGCCATCTCCATCACAGCTGCTGCACCCACACTGCTGTGCCCACAACCCTTTGGGATACACCCTAATGCCCACCCCACAGCGGGTGACCTGCCTCCTCAGTGGGGTTTGTGTTGGGCAGGGCATGGCAGCAACATTGGCAAAACAGGCACTTCCATCTCCTTCCTCTGCCACAGGTGCTGGCGTGGATGACCCCATTGGGGAGGTGTCCATCCACGTGGAGCTCTTGACCCACCCCAGCAGTGGCGAGCACAAGGTCACCGTCAAAGGTGGGTTCTGCTGGCCAGGGTGCCAGAGTCTGGCAGGTGCCAGTGCTCCCTGAGCCTCACCTGTCCCTTCCTTGCAGTGGTGGCTGCCAATGACCTCAAGTGGCAGACTTCGGGCATCTTCCGGCCCTTCATCGAGGTCAACATCATCGGGCCCCACCTTAGTGACAAGAAGAGGAAATTCGCCACCAAATCCAAGAACAACAGCTGGGCCCCCAAGTACAATGAGAGCTTCCAGTTGTAAGTGGCACCATTGGCTGGGGATGTGGGGACTGGCTGGGGGACATGTCCCCAGCACCTGGGGACCTCCTGGGGTCTGCTAGGGAGTTTGCTCATCCCCAGTGGCATGTTTCAGGTATTTTCTCATTGGTAAAAGCATGGAGGGGGGAACAGGAGTAAAAATGAAAAGGCTTTCCCAGGGTTGGGGACAGCAGCCATGTAGGGGCTGTTAGACGGCTAGGTTGGGGTGAAGTGTGACCCCCTGTGCCAACACTGCCCGTCCCTTGCCTCCCCTCAGCACGCTGGGGACAGAGACGGGCCCTGAGTGCTACGAGCTGCAGGTGTGTGTGAAGGATTACTGCTTCGCCCGGGAGGACCGCACCGTGGGCATCGCCGTGCTGCAGCTGCGGGACATCCTGCAGCGCCCCGGCTGCGCCTGCTGGCTGCCCCTGGGCCGCCGCATCCACATGGACGACACCGGGCTCACCGTGCTCCGCATCCTCTCCCAGCGCAACAACGACGAGGTGGCCAAGGAGTTTGTCAAGCTCAAGTCGGACACGCGCTCGGCCGAGGAGGGCAGTAGTTAAAGCCCTTTGGTCCCCCAGCCCTCGCCCCCCGCTCCCGGCCCCCTGACAGAATCCTCTAGCCGTGTATAAGCCATAGGAGTGGCCACAGAGGAGTCGCTGCCCCGGCCCTGGGGAGGGGGTGCTGTGGCTGCAGTGACAGACCCTCCCCTCCCTCCCTGGCCACGCTGCCTGGGTGACAGCGGTGCCCAGCACAGGCCCCCGTCACACCCCGCAGGAAGGTGCTGGGGTTGGGGGGGGCTACAGGGAAGGGCTGGAGCCGAGCCTGGGTGAGGGGAGCAATCTGCCCTTCCCCAGCCTGTCTGAGATGGAGGAACCCCAGTGGCCCATCCCTGAACCTCCGCTGCCCCAGCCAGCCCCAAACCTTACTGAGTGACACAAGGAAAGGGCTGTGGGTGGTGTGTGTATCTCATGCCATGTGTGGGTGTTGGTGAGTGGCTGGCACAGCGTGATGGCCCCTTGTCCCCATCCCTGAGCGTCATGGTGTGTCCTGAGGGCAGGGCAGCTGCCAGTCCTGAGCACATATGTGTACATATGTAAATAGCTGTACATACAGGGCAGCTGGACAGGCTGTGTCCTGCACCCGGAAGGGCTATTGGGGCTGTTGGGTTGGTGGGTGCAGCCCCCACGGGCCCTGCACAGGGTCCTCTCCCTGGCTGACAGCAGCATCATCAGGGTCGGGAGCAGCAGGGAGCAGCCCCCGGCCCATATCCTGTCTTCCCTTCCTTGCTGCCACCGTGGGCTACCCCACTGCCCCCTACAAGGTTCCAGGGCTTGGGGAGGCAGGAGCTGGGGGCACCAGAGCAGAGAGTCTGGTTCCTCTTTGCTCTGGCCGGTGGGGAGCAGCATCCCTGAGCAGCCCATGGGATCTCCTTGGCGCAAGCAAAACCCTTCCCACCCCGCCCCAGAGAAGCCCCCTCTCCAGTCCCCCAGTAAGCACCAGTTCTGTGCCCCCAGTTCCCCAGTGAGCACCATTTCTGTGTGCTAAGTGGTGTGCATGTCTCGTGCGAGTGCCTGGGAGGCCTGGGTGTGTGGTGTTGGGGCGGCCACCCCAGCTGGCCGGTTTGCCCCAAGTCCTGAGGCAGACAGAGCCTCGTGACCCCACAAGTCAATACAGCTCTCTCACCCCCTCCCATCCCAAAACAGGGTACCCCAAGTGATCCCCACGCTCCTTTATCTAGAGGGTTTGCCTGGGACCAAAGGGTTTCACTTTGCTCTCTCGTTTCTGTTCAATGTTTACACCCTTTTTCTACTGGCTGCTCCTGCCCGGCCAGGCTGGGGCTCGGCCCCGCAGCCCGACCGTGGTGCCCCTGGCCCCGTGCCCCTCCCCAGACTGTCCTGTTTGGCATGTGATTGAACTGACCAATTCTGCTCCTGTAGCACAGTGTCACCGATGCCTGTGTGTCTGTCCCGCCCACAGCGGCGGCTCCCATGGATGCATGACAGTGAGATGTTTTGCACTATTTTGAATTTTTTGGGCTCTGTAAAAATATTTTATTATAACTGACATTAAAAAGCACATCCTTCACTGTGGCTCCTGTGGGGAGTTGGGAGGGGAGAGGCACTTGAGGGCTTCCCAGCCCCACTCCCATCCCAGTGCAGCACTTGCACATTTAAAAGGAAGAACGGATATCCAACCTCAAGGATAACCAGCTCCAAGGATAACCAGCTCCAAAGACCAATACCCCAGGGATGATCCCTGTTGCTACTCAGCCTCCCTGAGGGTGCCTTTGCAAAACCAAGGAGAGGTGTTAAATGGAATCACAGGAACACAGAATCCTGGAATATCCTGAGTTGGGAGGGAGCCTCAGGGATGATGAGTGCAGCCCCTGTCCCTGCACAGACCCCCCAACAATCCCACCCTGAGCATCCCTGAGAGCGCTGTCCAAACGCTCCTGGAGCTCTGGCAGCCTTGGGGCCGGGACCATTCCCTGGGGAGCCTGGGCAGTGCCCAGCACCCTCGGGGGGAAGAACCTTTCCCTGAGCTCCATGCCAAGCCCTGGCACAGCTCCAGCCCTTCCTGGGCTCCTGGCCCTGGCCCAGAGCAGAGCTCAGCCCCTGCCCCTCTGCCTCCCCTCGGGAGGAGCTGCAGAGCTGGGACAGGCATGTCCTGAGAGTTGACACTACTCCCAAGCACAATGCTGATAATTCCCAGGCATGGGAGTGATCAGGGACAGCCAGCACAGCCTCATGGAGGGCAAACCCATCTCTCGCTGATCTCATTGCCTTCCATGATGGGGTGACTCCATCAGCAGATAAAGGATGAGCTGTTGATGGCACCGGCCTCGACTTCTGTGAGGCTTTTGACACAAACCCTCAAAACACTTTCCACACTAAATTGGAGTGATGTGGATTTGATGAATGCAGAGCCCTGATGACCTACAGAGAGAGCTGGGGCTGTTCCTGGGCTCTAGCAGAGTCCTGCTTCACCCTTGAGAATTGTGGGGCTGCCACCAGGCTTTGCTAGAATCATGGAATGGCTTATGCTGAAAGGGAGTTTAAAGCTCAAGTCCAACCCCATCCTTGTTCTTGGGCTCCTGTCTTTTTCCAGTGATCCTTGATGGGATACATCTTTTCTTGAGGTTTTCTAGATTAATTAATTAGCTTTAATAATGATAATTTCACATGGGGCTCCTGTCCCTATATGAAAAGAGAGCAGAGGTTCCCTGGGAGGCCGTGGTAGCACGGCCTGTGTCCCTGCAGCCCAGGGAAGTGCATGGGGGGCAGGGATGCACCTGCAGCCCCTGGAGGACCCCGAGCAGAGCAGGGGGATATGCTCTGAGGGGGCTCTGAGCCTGAGCAAAGGCTGTGCTGGGGCAGGCTCCTGGCAGCACCTGAAGCTGGAGCAGCTCATGCAGAACCTCAGCAATCCATCCATGGTGGAGGTTCCTGCATGGTGCCCACGGGACGAACCCCACACTAGAGCAGGGGAAGAGGAGGAGGAGGAGGGAGCAGCAGAGACAAGGGGTGATGGACTGAGCACAACCCTCATTGCCCATCCCCCTGCACAGCTGTGGAGGAGGAGGTGGAGAATTTGGGCGGGAAGTTGAGCCTATGGAGAAGGGAGAGGTTGGGGAAGTTGTTTTATGATTTACTTTTCTTTCCCATGACCCTCAGAGGAATTGATTAACAACAATTTAAACAACATAATCATTTTATGCACCAGCTGCACACTGTGAGCAGGTCAATAAATACAGTCCATGAGAGAGTTGCCTTCAAACCCTGTTCAGTAAGTCCAAGTGAAGCTCTAAGTGAGCCTGGTGGCCTCTTGGTCTGTGAGTTCTGGGATGCAATGCTGGGCACTGGAAAACCCAAACCCACCTCAAGTGAGTCCCAGCCAGCAGGACCTTGTATACCCAAACTCCTCTAAGCTTGGAAAAGAGAAGGCTCTAGGGAGACCTCAGAGCCCCTTTTAGTGCCTAAAGGGGCTCCAGAAGAGCTGGAGAGGGACTTTGGACAAGGGCCTGCAGGGTCAGGACACAGGGAATGGCTTCCACTGCCAGAGGGCAGGATTGGCTATTACTGGTCCATCCTCCTACCATGAAATCTCACCTCAGTCACAGAATAGAAAATAGTTGGGTTCTTGAATTTAAAGTCCCTCTGAGCCCTGACTCTCATGACACCATCCTACCACCTTCATGCACCTCTCAGTCCTAAGGTTCAACTCAAGACCAGGACACAGCATTTTCATGGGATTAGTTCATCTACTCCTGAAATATGAGAATACTCCTGAATTATGAGGAAAGGGGGAGGCTTGGCTTCAGGAGATGTTGCAATTCCTCAGAGGAATTCCTTGAGAGAGGATGCTGTGGGACAGTATCTAACTGGAACTGCACAGGTGGGTCAGAGAGGAGTGTACAATTCTTTACTCCTTCTCAAGAGAAGCTCAACTGTGATTAACTGCACCAAACCTTTCTAGAAATGTTCCAGCTGGTGGCATTAGTCCTGCCAACACTCCTAACCCTAACAGGCTGAGGAGCTAAAGTCTGCATGTCATCAGCTAAGCTAGGTCATTCAAATAAATCCTCCCTGGAAGGATTCCTGGAATCCCAGGAAGCAGATAAGTCTATTCCAAGCCTGCTGACCACCCCTTCTCTAAGGGCTAAAGAGCTCCCTCACACCTCCCTCCCTCCTTAAACTCCCTCCCAGCACCCTTCAAACAGCTTCAAGGCCAGAGTTACATGCAAAGACTTTTATTAGCTTCAAAGGATTAAAAGGTGGCCAAACAACCCAGTGGAAACTCAAAGGGTGCTGAACCAAAACTTCAGAGGGTTCAGACATCTCAAAATGGGACACTGGCAGCAGCCCAGGGGCAGCCCCAGGCTCAGAGTGGCCAAGGAAGGCCAGGCTGAGGGTCTCAGGGATGTGGGGCTCATCCAGGTGCAGGGGAGGTGGTGAAGGGCAGCTGAACAGGGAAGATGTGGTTGGTGCTCACCAGGAGCTGGTCAATCCCTCCCCGTGCTGGTCCTGCAGCCGCCTCTGCAGGGACAATGGTCAGATTGGGACTGTCCCAGTGTGGGGGTGTCCATGCAGGGACCTCCCCCCAGCCCCACTCCACACTGCTGAGGAAGAGGGGGCTGAGTCCAGCCCCATGGCCGGGGTGTAAGCCCAGAGGATCTTCACAGCCTGGAGGAGAGGGTGGGGACATGGACAGGGAAGGGCTGGGCAGTCCTGGCACTCCTGGGTACAGCGCGGTCCCCAGCCCAGGGCAGCCAGGGAAGGGCTTGCCCAGAGGCTCCAGTTTCCCTGCCAGGCCCTCACCCTGTGCAAGGCCACCTCATCCCGCACGTCCTCACAGTCCTGCTCCAGGTGAGCACATTTCTGCACCAGGCTCCAGCAGTGCTCCCGCTCCTTCTCCAGCTCCTGCAGCGCCGTGGGGGCGGACACGGCTCGGTGGGGTCGGACACGGCACGGTGGGGTCGGACACGGCACGGTGGGGTCGGACACGGCGCGGTGGGGTCGGACACGGCTCCGTGGGGGCGGACACTGCGCGGTGGGGTCGG